CAACATTTTGATTGTGCTGTTTATACCTTTTGTTTGGTGGAATTAGAGATTGGAAATTTTCATTACTACAAATCTTTCCATTTAACCAATATACAATGATTTGTTTCCCTGCAATGGTAGATGAACACTTACAATGCTTTCACTTTGGAGCTCTTATAAATATTCCTGCTATTATTATTTTCAGTGAGTTTTATATGTGCACATGAAAACATATCTGTCAGATGTATAATAAGGTATCAAATGGCCACTCAAAGGGCCCATTTATTCAACTTATGATATAATTTAAAACATTAAGTTGTCCAATGTGTACTTTAACTCAAAATTACAACACTTTCTAAAACAGAAATAGCTTTCAGGGAGGGATAATAATTTGTGTATTTGTAATGATTTTACCTCTTTATACTGAATCTATTAGTTTGGAAATGATGTGCAATGGAAACTAGCAAAATAATGACTGGAATAATCTTTACTATAACTAAAATTTGTGATTAAACCGTTTCTGTAAGTATCTAGAGAAGCAGGAGCTGGAGTACAGAGGACAAGATGAAGAGAACAGAGAGAAAGAATAATGGGTTGGAAGAAAGAATGTCCATTCTGCCAAACTTCTATAAAATATAAGAAAAGTTCTTTTAATAACTGGAATCCAGGCTATTCTGGGCCTAACCCTTAGAGAGCTATTGGGTGTTCTCGCTTGCACGCTCGCTCTTTCTCTCTCTCTCTCTCTCTCCACTAATGCTGGTCTGAATGCTTTGGAAGAATAATAATAAGTAGGAAAAATGTAAATGAGTAACTTTTATCAAATAGTCTTATTGATCTGTTACTAAAGTCAACATTTAAAAACTTCAAAATCTGCAATTGATCATTTCCGACAAATTTTGAAAACATATATGAGGAGCACTTTTTGCAGTGAAGGTTAATAATAATCTACTGAAGTATTTCACTACCACAAATCAGATATCACAGACCACAGGGGGAGACTAAAGTATCTCTTTTTAAACTTTATGAGTAGGATCTTGGAACCAACAGAGAAGATGTTCTTTCCGGTTATTCTCACTGAATCTGTTACTCATGGAATGAGGAATGACCCAGACTTGAGGACTATACTCATAGGTAGTGTCTGTCACCATCACTGATGCGGATAAAGGATGATCTTTTAATGGGGTCAGAGGTACAGAGACACAACCAGCTGAGAAATTAATGTTTAAACCCACATTTGCAACTAGACCTTGATATTCTGTAAACTCTGCTAAGAATAATTTCTACTCTCCCCTTCCCACTTACACAACCAGCTCTATCTGCCTTCAGATTGTATGTAACCTCCAAGAGCTACTTTGTCTAATTATTCAATCTTCCTTGCTCACAACCTCTTCCCCAGGGAGGCAGGAGGTCATATCAGGTTATATATATGTCCTACAATATAGAAATAGACATAATTATGTATGCACTAAATGAGAAAAAAACACTGAATGTACGGAGCTATTCTGTGGAAAGTTTTCTAAGTCAACAGATATGTAAAATTTTAAAGTGAGAAACTTTTCATCATCTTGGCTCACTAGTTTAATTATTTTATTTAAAAAAAATCATTACTTATCAAATCATTACTGAACAAACAAAAAAAATTGAAAATCATGGAAACATCTTTTCTAACTATTGTATTACCCAAACAATGACTTTAAGTAATAAGCACTTGAAATATTATTGTCTCTAAGTTATCTTATATGCCAAGGGTCTTTAAGTCAATGGTAAAAGGTACAGAAAAAATGTTCATATGTTTGACTTGGGAGGATCTAGGGAAGAAAATCTACATGGAATTGCTGAAGCCTGAGTACTGGCAAACGTGTCCTTTCCATCTCCCTTCCCTCATGCACTTTCTGCAACCCACTGGTGCTGGCCTGTTTGCTCTAACAAATTTTGAAAAACAAGGATTGCTGTGACTTTTGATTTTAGTGTCCTACTCAGGTTCACTGAGTCAGTGACTGAAAGTCTAGTGTGAGTAACATTTCAAGAAGAGCTTTATGTCTCCACTGGTTTTATCAAGCAGAGACCCAATACCAGTCTGTCTCTTACCTTTGGTCTTACTCATAAAACTTAAAAAAAGAAAAAGATACAAACAAAAGACACAAAAAACTATCTTCATACAGTAATTTCCTGTGATTTTTCTATTCTTCACAAAAGCAGTTAAATCTATTTGTAATACATACTGAAATATGGGGAAGGTATACATTGGGTCATATTCACCACTCTATCTCCAAAAACAAAAGAAATAAAGGAAGAAAAGTAACAGAAATTACGTGATTTGTATACCCAAACATGCCCCAAATGATGATTAACTAAAAATTCATTTTTGATTCATGTAATTTATATTGATATCTATAATGTATTTTGTTAATTATTATTTTAATTGTACATATTTTTGGTGTACACTGAGGTCTTTAGGTACATGCATACAATGTGTGATCAGCAAATCAAGGTTCTTAGCATAGAAAAGCATTATTATAGATACAACAAACAGGTTTCATTTGTCAATACACTCCCCAATATCGGCATTCAGAAGTTTTCTAGTTTTCCTTTGGATTGCCATCAAGTGGGGATTTCTCCCTTGTCACCAGACACAACCATACTTGTTGGTACTCAATAAGGGATTGCTCCATCCTCCTTCAGTTGTTTTTTATGAACATTTCCAACAACATTCCAGAAATTGGCAAGGCAAAGAAAAGCAGGAATGAGAATCTAGTCATCTGCCCAGACTGAATTGTTGGGGGAAGCTGCAACTCTTTGGAAGAGAGACAGGAAACTTTCTTAGCCAGATTTTACTACAATAGTATTGCATGATGACACACAATGTAAGTGAATAGATTATAAGATCTCCTACCTCCTACCTGATCTTTAACTCAATGGCTACAGAAGGCAAGCTCCAGGTTCTGGGTTAGGTTCAAGTGGAAACTTGTGTCCTTTTCATTTGTCCTCAATTTAAAAGAACAATCTTAAAGTGAGTTTATATCCCTCCTCTGGGGTGCAAGTTGAACATAACATAATGGGCTGATATGAATATGAAATGTCTTAGAAATGCTGTCCCTTGCACAATTTGTTGGCAAACTAAGTCTCATATGGTCAACCTCATTATTCCAGTGGCAAAATATATTATTTTATGAGGTCAAGGAAAAAGCTGAATATTCAAATCATTTCTGTGAAGCATTTGACCTGCTCAGCAATGGATTAATGATATGTGAATGCAGCCAGTAACTAATCATTGCCTGTTGTGGCTCATCAGGAATTCTATTAACTGATTAATTTGGGTGGAGCCTTGCTCATGTCAGATGCATATAACATCTTGAAGGCCAAGGTATTACCCTTGTTTCTCTGGCCTTATTTTGGATGGTGACTAAAATATTAGAAGGCTCAGAGGGCTAACCATGCTTGATTTGCCATCAGGCTACCTATCAAATAAGAATGAGTTAAGAGGATAATGGGATCATTGAGAACACATAGTACTTGAACAGAGCACCCAATAACAACATTCTCATTCTAATGACATTTAAGATTGTGTATATCACACTAATTACCTGGTGAAGGGGCACAAGGACTGAACTGAGAGCAGCTTGTTACCTTTGGAAGAAAAGAAGTCTCATTCCTTAAGATTTCCATGCTGTCCTTCAACAGCTGGCTGCCCTAGAAATTATCGCTTCGTCTAAAAATTCTCCCCATTGTGATTATGACAGCTTAGGCTACAGGAGCAGAATGGCAGCTGACAGCAGATGAGTGTTTTGAAGAAATGGGAACACTAAAAAAGAGAAAAAGGGGAAAATAGACTGGCCTGGAGGAGTCACCTTCACTCCCTAATCAGAGCAGGCTCATGTCAGGCCACCAATGCAGTTTCTCTTTCCCCCAAAGCCTACTGAAAACAGGAAAAAAGAGGAGAGTGTGGGGTCCAGCTGGCAGACATGGGAGCCACTTGCTGTTGCAGGGACACACCGTGGTGCCAGCTGTGGAAGTGCTGCTCTCTGCTGCTCCATCTGGGAGGTCACTGCTTCACCACAGGTAAGTAGAAGAGGGAGGGAGGCTGGAGGTGAGCACTTCACTCTAATAAGTAGTAGAGAGAGGAAGGCAGGAGGTGAGCACTGTTGATGTAGGCAGCTGTCCAGATCCCAGAGGCTTAGGGATCCAGCAGCACTGGATGAAAATCCCCGATTCTGATCTGGTGTTAGTCCTTGGCAAGCACCAGGGACAGACACGTAGATGCTGAGGTCTTGGGTGGATCCTGTTTTCTACTGTGACATAGGAGCTATGAGCAAATTCTCTGTGCCCACCTCTGTATCAAAGTCTGTCAATTTTGATTTTGTGAGATCTTTGGCCTCAAAAAATGAAAAAAATTCTGTCATTCCAAAACAATTTATTTCTCTTTTCAGTCGTACTGGGGAGGGCTTGGAGTGAGCATTTTCCAACAATGAAATCTGTTATCGAGTCACAACTTTAAAAGTTCTTCCACTTAAAATGCACAACCCTTGACAGGTGGTGCAAGTGTGTAAAGGGGAACCTCTGAGGGTGGCCTGGAGACTGTGCACATTGTCCACATGCAGACCACTCAGTGCACATCAGGCCCCACCCACTGACTCTCCCGAAGTACATCTTCCTGACCCCAGAAGGATGAGGGGCTTTCCCATCAGGCTCTGTGCAAGTCAGTGAACCCATTTCCTAGAAGACTCAGAATGCCCAGGAGTGGGGTGGTACCCTGGGGAGTGCAGTGACCCCATCACTGATGTGGTATTGTGCCAACATCTGATTTAATGATAGCTTCTTTGGCAGGGGAAAGTTGTGCTGATCTGTGAGAAATGACAGAGCAACTTCAGATTCTGGTCCTTGAGGTTGCAAACTTCCCCACAACCCTGAGCCTCATCTCACAGACTCCATTTCCTGCTTCTTCAGGAATAGTGTGAAACCTCAATGGTTAATGCAGGAAGAAATGCTTGTAGTTTCGATTTCAGTTCTATTTATTTTCACTTGCTTTTTGACTGGCTATAATACCCTGTTTGCTTTTCAGCTCCTAAGAAGAATGGTTAGTTTTCTGAGGAGCCAGCTGAGGAGGAAACACAAGCAGTGAATAAAGGCAACTGAGAACGTGCAGAGCCCCTGCCAGGTGAGTTTGCTGCAGACCTGCCACCCATGAACTTGTCCCTCAACAAAAAACAACAGCAAATTCCATTCTGAGGTTGCATTGGAACGTGCAGGAAGACCATGGGAGGCCACTGGGAGGGGTCCCGTGGCATTTGACAAGGGCTGTGTACCCCTTCCACCCCCCATCTCAGCTGCTCTCTCTGCAGAGGCAGCAGGCAGGGGAAGTGTGCTCCCTCCTCCTGTCCTCAGTGGTCTCCTGACTTATTCCTATACCTGCCCTCAACACAGTCATGAGAACCTGCATTTTCTCTCATTTATCTGGGGGCCTTACCTTATTCCCTGCTTATGTTCTTCTGAGGACTTGTTATTATCAGATAAAGGTTGATTATTTTGTTTATTATCTGTTTCCCCACTGGAACAGAGATCCTTGAGACAGCAAATTGCATTTACTTAGTAAGCTCGTTGATAATGGATCTCTAGAACAGTATCCAGCATGTGGTAAGTACTCAAAACATATTACTTGACTTAATGAGAGAAGAAGTTCTTTTGTAATGCTTAATAATATTTCTTACCAGTGTTCATCTCTACCATTTCTCATTCTGCCTCTACTTACCTTTAGGTAAATATTCATATTCTCAGGGCTCTGACATCAGTGCTTTGCTTTCCTCGATCTCTTCTGAAAAATCTCAGGCAGTGACTTCTAGTTCTCTCTCCACATTTTAAGAAAATATTTATGTTTTAAGTTGTAGGTGGACACAATACCTTTATTTTATTTTTATATGGTGCTCAGGATCGAACCCAGTGCCTCACGCGTGCTAGGTGAGCACTCTATCTCTGAGCTACAACCCCAGACCTCTCTCCACATTTTTTAAATTGGTGCATTATAGTGGTACATAATGATGATATTTATTATTAAATATTTGTGCGTACACATAATATAATAATATAATTTGGTCAATTTAACTCCCTAGCACTCCTCTTAACCTCCTCAGTTAGACTTATTTTGCTGAACATAATGGTCTCATGTTCTATTTATTTTCCTGCAAATGACATGATTCATTTTTTTAATGACTGAATATATCTCCAGTGTGCATATATATCACACTCTCTTTATTCATTCATTTGTTGATGGTTACCCAGGCTAGTTTCATAGTTTGGGATCATGAACTGTGCTGCTATAAACATGGTTTTGGGTGTATCACTACAGTATGTTGACTTTAATTCTTCAGGGTAAATACCAAGAAGTGGTATAGTTAGCTCTAAGTGGTATAGTGGTTCTATGACCAGTCTTTTGAGGAACCTCAATACTGATTTCCAAAGTGATTGTACTAATTTACTGTCCCACCAACAGTGTAAAAGTGCTCCTTTCTTTACACACCCTCTCCAGTATTTATTAGCATTTGTGTTCTTGATGACTGCCCATTCTGACTGGTATGAGATGAACTCTCAGTGTAGCTTTGATTTTCTTTTCCCTAATTAAAAACTATATTGACCACTTTTTCATGTATTCGTTAGCCATTTATATTTCTTCTTTTTAGAAGCGTCTGTTTGGATGATTTGCCCATTCATTAGTTAGGTTTTTTGTTTGTTTTTCAGTGTATATATTCTGGATGTTAATCTTCTGTTGGAAGATTAGCTAGGAAAGATTTTTTTCCCATTCTCTAGGTTCTTTCTTCACATTCTTAATTGTTTCCTTTTGTGGTCAGAGACTTTTAAATTTGATGTCATCCCATTAATTAACTCTTGGCCTTATTTCCTGAGCTTTAGGGGCCCTATTGAGAAAGTCATTGCTTGTGCCTGTATGCTGAAGTGTTGATCTTATGTTTTCTTATAGGAGTTACAGTTTTTGGTCTAATTCTTAGGTCTTTGGTGCATTTTCAGTTGATGTTTGTGCAATATGAGAGGAAAGGGTCTCGTTTCATTCTTCTACATGTGGATAATCAGTTATCTCAGTATCATTTGTTAAAAAGGCTGTCTTTTTCCCAGTTTGTGTTTTTTTTTAATATTTATTTTTAGTTTTTAGCGGACACAACATCTTTGTTTGTATGTGGTGCTGAGGATCGAACCTGGGCCGCACGCATGCCAGGCGCTACCGCTTGAGCCACATCCCCAGCCCCCCCCCCCCCCCCCCAGTTTATGTTTTTGGCATTGACATTTGTCAAGGATAAGATGACCATATCAGTGGGTGTTTGTTTCAGTGTCTTCTCTGTACATTGGTCAGTGTACCTGCTTCTATGCCATTAACATGCAATTTTTGTTATTATATCTCTAAGTATAATTTAAAGCAGGTATTGTGATGCTTCTAGCATTGCTTTATTTTTTCACTTGCTTACAATTGTTTTGACTACTCTGGATTTTTTATCTTCTAAATGAATTTTAGGACTATTTTTCTAGTTCTATGAGGAATAACATTGGTATTTTAATGGGATTTGCATTGAATCATATATCATTTTGGTAGTATGGCCATTTTCACAATATTCTTATAATTAATTAATTCTAATTATTCTAATTAATATTAAGCCTGTGGATCCATGAACATGGGAATTCTCTGTATCTTCTGGGTTTTCTTCAATTTCTTTCTTAAGTTTTCTATAGTTTTCATTATAGAGGTCTTTTACTTCCTTGGTTAGATTTACTCCAAAGTATTTTTTTAAGTTATTGTAAATAGGATTGTTGTCCTGATTTCTTCTTAGGCAGATTTATTATTATATATAGGAAATCTATTGATTTCTGTATATTAATTTTGTAACCTGCTACTTTGCCAAATATGTTTATTAGCTCTAGCAGTCTTTTGGTGGAATGTTTTGCATCTTCTAGGTATTAGATCATATGGTCTGCAAGCAGGAATAATTTGACTTCTTCCCTCCCCATTTTTATCCCTGGTATTTCTTTCTCTTGGCAGGCAACACTTTTTGAGTCCTTATTGGAAATAAAAGATAATGTATATAAGTCATCTATACCAGAACTTGACATGCTGGATAATGTTTTTTTCTTTTAAAAACATACAAAATGTAGAAAGTTAATATAAACATTCCACAAGCAGAGAACTGACATGAAAGTTCATGTCAATAGCCATCAGAGATGACATCAAGATCCTGGGATTCACTGAGTGGCTTTTCTGAGTTACAGGTGACCATGGCATCTGAATCTACCATGAAGTCCCCCATTTGTTTAGTGGAAAACTGGAATGAGCAACTGACAGTGAATTCAGAAGCCTTGAGGATTCTTGAAAAGATATGTCAACCTGTGGTGGTGGTGGCCATTGTAGGGACATATCGTACGGGGAAATCCTACCTCATGAATCAACTTGCAGGACAGAACCATGGTGAGTGTGGTCCTGGGGCAAGGGAAGTTGCTTCTAACCACAAATGGGACAAGTTGATCTCACTTTTTCTAGGATCATCTTAAGGAAGAGGCTAATCAATCCTTTCCACTAAGGAAAATGTCTAATTCTTACCAGCATATTTATAACCTCTCACCTATCCAAAATTATCTCATTCTTTTGTCCATTAATAAAGAGCTTCCCAATCTTATCAAAATATCTGCTTCACTGTTCTTCCTGATGCCATCCACTCTCATCTTCTCAGGGGCTGAGCTGTAGCAATCACTCCCTTTCCCCTATCTGAATCCTTTTGTCCAAGCAACATGGCCATTTGATGTAGCATGCAAATATAGTTAAGTATGTCCTTTAAAAAAATGGATGGGCAGAAGGATGCACAGTAGGATCTCTCTATATCCAATATCCAAATTGAGCTACCAGTCAATTTTTTTCTCTGTTTCATAGCAAATCTTTGACAAATTAACATGCTGCTCTCTTTGTTTAGTTTTTTTATATCATGCAAACTATAACAGAGTACAACATAGTTAATAAATATAAAGTGAACAATTATATAATCACTATGTACATCAGGAAATAAAACCTAACCAACATTCAAAAGCCCAAATCATGTCCTCTCATACTCTCACCAAAGCTCATCCATATTTGGGTTTTCAGGGGACACTCTACTCTTGCTTCTAAATAATGTTTCTATAGTCTATTATTCAGTCTACAAAATATCTTAGTTCAACTTTGTTTTGACTTTTATGTAAAAGGGACTGTGGCATATGTATCATTGTGTGTCTTGCTTATTTTGCTCAACAAGAAGTTTATGAGCATCCTCTGTTTGTCACACATATCTGTAATTTATTTGTTTTCAGTACTTTAGAGTATGCTTGTACCAGTTTATTTATCCATTAGTTGTTGATGAGCACTGGTGTTAGTTCCAGGTTTTATCTTTAATGAATAAGGTAGTTATAAATATTCTTATATTTATATCCTGGTGTGCACATGTACAAAAACTTCTCCTGTGCCTTATATCCAGAAGTGGAATTTCTGGATCGCAGTTTCCATATATGTCTTCATACTTTTGTGCCATTTACATTCTTTTTCTTAGGTTTCCACACATCCTGAAAATAATTGGTAACACAAGACAAACTCTTAACTCTTACTGATCTATGAACTGGATAGTTGTATGTTGTCTATCTCACTATAAATACAGGCAAGCACCTGGACATTTATATTTCCTATTGTGTGAACTTGTTCACAAAAGTCAGTCTTCTAATCTCTGGGGTCCCCCCACCACCCTCTATCTGACTCTCCCTCCACCCCTCCTTCCTCCCCTCCCTTGTTCTGTTTTTCCACCTCTCTCCCTTCCTTCCATTTTCCCTCTCTCTTTTGGCCATTCTTCCATTGTGGCCTAAACAAAGCATTTTGTCTTCCTCATTCTTTTATATTCTTTTATTCTATAGTTTTCATTATAGAGGTCTTTTACTTCCTCGGTTAGATTTACTCCAAAGTTTTTGGTTTTTTTTTAGGTTATTGTAAATGGGATTGTTGTCCTCATTTCATCAATCAAGGGAAGACACTTTTTTTCTTTCCTGAAACAAACAAATTAATAAGCCATATTTTGAGGGATGAAAGAGTTGAGACCTAAGAGACAGATAATAGAAAGGAAGTTTCAGCAGCATTGTTCTTATTTTCTACTCAAGATAACATCAAGTGGATTGGGGCTGTGGCTTAGCGACAGGGTGCTTACCTACCATGTGTGAGGCACTGGGTTCAATCCTCAGCACTACATAAAAATAAAATAAATAAAATAAAGGCATTCTGTCCATCTAACAACAACAACAACAACAACAACAACAACAACAACAACAATAACAACAACATCAGGCAACAATGATATCATTTCCAATGCTCTGCTAAGGGAATTTATGGTTCCAAAGTACTTTAAACATCTCAACTGTGACTCTCCAACCTTCCACATCATAGTGTCATAGTAATAACAGAAAGAAATTGATTCACTTCCAGTCAAGATTCATAAGCAAAACCAGGCCACTATTTCCCTCTTTGTGGATGACTCATTTTCCTTTTATTATACCTTGGATTCTTGAGAATGATGATTTCTCACCACACTTTGTCCTCTCTAAAGATGGGAGCACTGGGAGTTAGGCTTACTCCATACCAATCAGAAATCAGATGCTACCATCTATAAGAAATTGTAGACTTCCTACCTATTTATGGAACTCACAGAGGCTGTGGAAATGGGATGCCCCAGGTCATGCTGAAACAATCCTCTAGTAATTTTGTCACTTCCTTTCTATTCCCAGTTGAAGGAAGGAAGCATTACTGTATGCAGGTGGTCAAAGTCTTGGACTGCTGGACAGGTCGTATCAGCCACTGGTTCCAGGACTAGTCTTCAAATCCTTTCTCTCATGAGATTAACTCTTTGGAAAGAAAGTCAACAGGTGTCACAGATCTTTCCTGCTTTCCCTTCATTTATATCCTCCTGATGGGGCAACGAAGCAGAGTTCATAGGAGAAAGAAAAAAAAAAACTCAATAGGGAGAAAGGGGGAGAGGAAACTTGCAAAAGCTAATGTTTCAGTACAGTACAGGTCTTTGCAGGCCACAGCTGACCAAATTATTATCTTTCCACCACTATAAGAAATACCTGAGATAATTAAACTGATGGAGATAAAATGTTGACTCATAGTTGTGGAGGTTTCATGATTGATTTGCCCTGATGCTTTGGGCCTGTGGTTAGGGAGCATATCATGGCAAGTAGCTTATGGAAAAGCAAGAGTCTGCTCACCTCATGGCAAAACAAAGAGGAAACAAAAGGAAAGAAGGAAGAGATCAGGATCCCACAATCCCCTTCAAGGGCACTGCTTCCCCTACCCCCAATAATGTGAAGTCCTCCCACAAGGCCCCACCTGTTAAAAATTCCTCCCAATAATGTCAAACCGGGGATCAAGACTTAAACACTTGGGTCTTTGGAGACATTCTAGATCCAACCTATAGCGCCCATTCACAGGGTAATTGAGCATTGAATGGAGGAACTATTTCCAAGGTCAGAGTATAGGTAGAGGAATCCAGCCAGGTGTGATAAAGCATCTGGTGAGTGGCAGTAGCAGTAGCCTCTGGTACACTGTTGAGGTGAGCTTAGAGTGGATGCCATGGCGTGGCAAAGAGAAGAACTATTGGATGGACCTACAGGAAAGGAACAGTGACCTGAGGTAGAGGAACAAGCCCCTGGGACACTGTGGCCCAGCACAATGGAAGCTGGAGGAACACATGCCTGCCTTCTGGTCTCCCACTGGTGTTTCCAACTGGTTGAACTCAGCCTGCAGCCAGAGGACACTGCAGCTCTTCCTGGTCAGATAAAAATACATAGGATGACAGCACAGGATGATAGATTTTACACTAATTCTTAAGGTGAAATAATTCAAGCACTTGAAAGCATAATGTGAATTTGGGGCATGAAGTGTTTTTTGAGAAAGATAGACAACACGTGGATTATTTATCCTTGTGAAATACTGGCAAACACTATGCTTGCTCGACACTGTACATTCCTACAGATTTAACCACTGGAACCCCAGACAGCTTTACCTCTCAGCTTCACTCTATGTTGCCTTCTCCTCTTCCCTCACAGGCTTCCCCCTGGGATCCACAGTGAGGGCTGAGACCAAGGGCATCTGGATGTGGTGTGTGCCCCACCCCAGCAAGCCAAACCACACCCTGGTCCTCCTGGACACTGAGGGCCTGGGTGACGTGGAAAAGGTGAGGCAGAGAATGTGCTGTACTCTTTATTCATGTGCCATTCAATTGGTCACCTCAGTTTGACTATCATGTCATATTCCTGTACTTGCAATTCAATTAGGAATAAGGAGGCTAAATTCCATTTCCTCAAACTTCCCTAAGCAACCTAAAATACCGTGGTTGTTTGAGTCAGTTTTTTTCGCTGTTGTGAAAAAAATACCTGACAACAACAATTTTAGGAGGAAAAGTTTATCTGGGGACTCACAATTTCAGAGGCCTCACTCCATAAACAGCCAGCTCCATTCCTCAGAGCTGGAGGTGAGGCAGAACACCATGTTCAAGATGTGGCAGAGGGAAGTGGCTCACAGGATGAGCAGGAAACAGAGAAAGAGACTCCACTCTTCAAATACAAATTTGCACACACCCCCAGGGATCCACCGCCTACAACCACAACCTACCCATCTTCAATTACCACTCAGTTATCCATCAGGGGATTAATTCACTGATTGGTTAAGATTCTCATAACCTAATCATTTCTTTCTTTCTTTTTAACTTTAAAGAAGTAATAATTTTCTTTCAAAAACACAAAAACTTCATATTCAAAAATCAGGTTAATTCTAACACATCTTATTCTCAAAAAACTTGTATCATGAAAGATAAACTGAACCTCTCTATATTTTATATCTCTCTGAGAGAATATAAACGGGCTTTATGTTGTTGTTACTGTGGTTTTTCCAATACTGGGACTAAACCCAGGGGTGTTTTACCACTGAGCTACAGCCCCAGTTCTTCTAATTTTTTTTTGATTGTTATTTGCTCTTTTTAGTTATATATGACAGTAGACTGTATGTGAACATACTAGATATACATGGAGTGTAACTTCCCATTTTTGTGGTTGTCCATGATGTGGAGTTATACTGCTCATGTATTCATACAGGAACATAGAAAAGTTATGTCTGTCCACTCTGCCCTCCCCCACCTCAGCATGTGCACATTAGAGAGAATATTAGGCCTTTGATAACCCAATCATATTTCCTTTGAACCTTCTTGCATTATTTCACACATAAGCTTTTGGGGAACACCCCATATCCAAACCATTACTTCGGTAAATTAGGACAGATCTTTTATTTTTAATACTGAGATGTGCAATTTAATTTAATAAATATACATTAAATAGCTGAAGTCCAGGGCTCTGTGCTAAGTACTATAAATATATCACTTAATAAGGTAAAGACTTAGAGCCTGGTTGTAGAGACAAGAAATATGGAATGAAATCAGTAGAAGGAAAGAAATGCAAAAAGTGGGAAACTGATCCAGCCATGAGAGTTAGGGAAAGCTTCCTGAAGAAAGCTCTCACCTGTGGGGTCAATGGGTTTGGTACCTTTATAGGTAGAGGCCATGAAAATAGCCTTTTGTTGAAGGAATCCATTTTAATAATCTTCAGTTTTATCATTAAGATTTTGGTCCAGGTCTCTGAGCTCCGGATGAAATTTTCACCATCTAAAAGCATGAGTTAGACCCAACAAAAATATAGCAAATGGTAAAATTTTAGATAATTCATCTTTACATTATTAGTTGCAATCAGTCTTTTCTCCTAATTTGTATTAGTTTGAATCTCATTGATTTGTAATATGTTGTAGTTTGCATAAAACCCTTTCTTTATATCTAATTGCAATTTTCAAGAGAATAAAACATAACCCGAAGGCAGCAAAACCGATGGCTGATGTTAGAACTTGTAACAGGATCTGGATCTATTTCAAAGCCTTTTAAGTCTTGCTGTTATCTCATTTCAGGCCTCTTTTCACTCTGGCCTGCACATTCACTGCTTCAGTGAAATAAAAGAAACTTGTGTTCTAACCAGTGAGACTTGCTGCTGCTGGTCCTTCCACTTGCTGGACCCCTGCATCTCCACAAGTCTATATTCTATCAGCTCTTTAAACCTCAGCTGATGACTTCTTGCTCTGAATTCCCAGAGCAATTATTCACATTCATGGGCCTCTCCACTCTGCTATTTTCTTTTCCTTTTTCTTTTTAAATAACTTTGGTTTCCTCTCCTCACAGATTATCATTTGAGCTGTGTTTATATGTTGTTACATGTAACTTTGCCTTCATAAGGTGATATTCCTATGAGCAGGGACTATCATATGGAAACTTTGTATCTACAAAAATCAAATGCAGGTCTGGCATTTTGTCAGATGTCGAAAAAAGGGTTGTTGAACTTAATTGGATAGTGCTTGCATCCTTAGTATAACCATGATTATGATGAAATTTGTAATAACAATTGCCCACATATTACGGGACATCTACTATGTTCTAGGCATTTTTTAAACTATTTTATGCACACTGAGAATGACCTTCATTTGCCTTCATAGCTAAACAAACTAATATTCTGAGAGGGATCAATATAAATATCAATAAAGAGATTTGAATTTAGCATTATCTTATAATTTTGTTATTTCCCCTATATTCAGAAATAGTATAGCTAAAAGAAGGAATGAAGCCAAGAGCGGTGGTGCAGGCCGTAATCTCAGTACTGGGGAGGCTGAGGCGGGAGGATGGTGAGTTCAAAGCCAGCCATAACCAAAGCAAGGTGCTAAGACCCTGTCTCTAAATAAAATTCAAAATAGGGCTGGGGATGTGGCTCAGTGGTCGAGTGCCCCTGAGTTCAATCCCTAGTACCCTCTCCCACACAAAAAAGAAGGAATGAAAAACTACATAAATGATGGAATGAAGAGTGGACTACTAAATTCTTTGTTCCCATGTGATTTCTAGGGTGACCCTAAGAATGACTCCTGGATCTTTGCCCTGGCCGTGCTTCTCAGCAGCACATTTGTCTACAACAGCATGGGCATCATCGACCAACGTGCCCTGGAACAGCTACAGTATCCTTCCAAGAACCAAACAACTATGTCTCATTGAGGTTAAGAGAATGGCAACTCAGGCTGTTTCTTCTTTCTTCTAACTTAATTGTCTTGATTGAGTAAGAATGGACATGGGGTGCCAGGGTTGTGGCTCAGTGGTAGAGTGCTTGCCTAGCATGTGTGAGGCACTGGGTTTGATCCCGGGCACCACATAAAAATAAACAAGCAAAAAACAAACAAATAAATAAATTAAGGGTATTGTGTCCATCTACAACTAAAAATATATATATTAATAAAGAATGGACATGGGGAGAAAAGAATATTTATAAGACTTGTTTCTAAGGGAGATCTGAAAATTGTGGTGCTTCTCATTCCTTAGCTAGGATCACAGCTATGTGACTGAACTAACACATCTAATCAGGGCAAAATCTGACCCCACACCAGATGAAGTAGGGGACTCCTCTGAGTTTGTAAGTTTCTTTCCAGACTTTGTTTGGACTGTTCGAGATTTCACACTGGAACTGAAGTTGGATGGACACCCCATCACAGAAGATGAGTACCTGGAGAATGCTTTGAAGCTGATTTCAGGTATCCGAGGGTGGCCTTGGTGTGGGGAGGTTCAATAAGGAAGTGGGATTAACTAAGCCCTGTCTTTTAGTGCTTGATATACCTGTTTATTTGCGAATGGATTGAGGCCCTTGCTAATGATGATTGATGATTGACAAGTGACCATGATTTTTATATTTATTTTATAAAAATCTTCAGAGGCCCAAATTTAAATTCACTAAGGAAATTTAGGCCTCATTGTTGCACCCATGTATGTTAGAACAATAGTACAATGAAAAATAATGAGGATTACAGTCAATGCTACCACTTCTAAGGCTCATATATTACTTATGAAGTGTTACTGCTTCTTCTATTTTGAGGAAAAGAGTTTATCACACTAGATATGAGTAAACCTAGAATCACAGGAAATATAAGGAATTACTTTTAAAAATATTTCACTCATTATACTAAAGTAGATGGTTACATCCTTCAGAGAAAAGATGTTTGTATAATGAATCATTCATGGGTGGAGGGGGAAGCAACACATAATTCCAGGAATACTGTCTAACCTTTCATTTTACCTTTTTGAAAACATCACCTTATTTATCCCACAGACTTATATGGTATCATGTTACTATTACAAATGTAATCACATGGAGTATATTTAACAGAGTAGATAAGTACTGGTACTTATCAATACCCATGTGTATTCATTCTTTAAATTAACATCTATTTGAACAGCTGACTTATGCCACAGAATATCTGTGAGACAAACTCAAGTCCAAAATAATCCGATATCAAGAAGTACACATTAAATTGAAATTCACTTTAATGCAGTTTTCTGCTGAAGGAATTTCTAAACATAATTATGGTGTGTGGATTCGGGGCTTTGATTGAGAAACATTTTTCTCTACAGTTCTGGGTATCATCTGTCCTCCCAGCAACATCTGTCCTTATTTCTAGCATTACTTTAGTGAAGAGCCTACATCTTCTTTATGACATGGGACTACAATATCAGAAAAGTCTTTCTGACAATTTTTGTGATTAATCAGTCATTTCAAACTTTTAATAAATACTTTACAGTGGGTTTACCACTACACAAGGGTTAAGGAGACCATTTACAAGTTTCTCCATTTGAGATGAGTATCTCTTCTTTCTCTCCAAAAATACTTCCTTGACTCTGAGCTCTGATAAAAAAAAATGGATGTTCAAGTTAGCATAACACTGCTTTCTATGATTGAATAAAGATAAACAGGCTTGGGCTGGGGCTACAGCTCAGTGGCATAGTGCTTGCCTTGCATGTGTGAGGCACTGGGTTCAATCCTCAGCACCACATAAAAATAAAACAAAAAATAAAGACATGCTGTCCATCTACAACTACAAAAAAAAAAAAATTAAAAAAGAAAAGATCAACAGGCTTGAGAATTACATTTAGACAAAGATTCATAGAAAAATCTCAATCTCTTTGCCTGAAGGCTTATCTCCTGAATCAGTGTTCTTTTTTATAGGAAACAATAAAAAAATCCAAAAATCCAATAACTCTAGAGAGAGAATCAGATGTTTCTTTCCAAAACGAAAGTGCTTTGTCTTTGACCGGCCTACAAATGACAGAAGCCTGTTATCTCACATTGATAAAGTTCCACAAAACCAGCTGGAAAAGAATTTTCAGGTGCAATCAAAGAACTTCTGTTCCTATGTCTTCACCAATGCGAAGACCAAGACCCTGAGAGGGGGAATCATTGTCACTGGAAATCGTGAGTTTCTGTTGTCCCAGTGCGTGTCTCTGGGGGGTTCAGTATGTATGATAACACTGTGATTCTTTTGTGAGTTTGTCAGTAATTCTGTTTGCTTTTGTAAGAAATGTGCAGAAGCAGGCATTCATGCCACACTCAGAAATGCATTTTCCTAGCCACTAGACCACCAGGGAGCCTTATAGTTGATAAAGGGGCTAAAAGCATGCAATGGAGGAAGGATAGCATCTTCAACAAATGGTGCTGGGAAAACTGGAAATCCATATGCAACAAAATGAAACTGAATCCCTTTCTCTCGCCATGCACAAAAGTTAATTCAAAATGGATCAAGGAGCTTGATATCAAATCAGAGACATGGCGTCTAATAGAAGAAAAAGTTGGCTACGATCTACATACTGTGGGGTCGGGCTCCAAATTCCTCAATAGGACACCCATAGCACAAAAGTTAATAACTATAATCAACAAATGGGACTTACTCAAACTAAAAAGTGTTTTCTCAGCAAAAGAAACAATAAGAGAGGTAAATAGGGAGCCTACATCCCGGGAACAAATCTTTACTCCTCACACTTCAGATAGAGCCCTAATATCTAGAGTATACAAAGAACTCAAAAAATTAGACAATAAGATAACAAATAACCCAATCAACAAATGGGCCAAGGACCTGAACAGACACTTCTCAGAGGGGGACATACAATCAATCAACAAGTACATGAAAAAATGCTCACCATCTCTAGCAGTCAGAGAAATGCAAATCAAAACCACCCTAAGATACCATCTCACTCCAGTAAGATTGGCAGCCATTATGAAGTCAAACAACAAGTGCTGGCGAGGATGTGGGGAAAAGGGTACACTTGTACATTGCTGGTGGGACTGCAAATTGGTGCAGCCAATTTGGAAAGCAGTATGGAGATTTCTTGAAAAGCTGGGAATGGAGCCACCATTTGACCCAGCTATTCCCCTTCTTGGTCTATTCCCTAAAGACCTAAAAAGAGCATGCTACAGGGACACTGCTACATCGATGTTCATAGCAGCACAATTCACAATAGCAAGACTGTGGAACCAACCTAGATGCCCTTCAATAGATGAATGGATAAAAAAAATGTGGAATTTATACACAATGGAGTATTACTCTGCATTAAAAAATGACAAAATCATAGAATTTGCAGGGAAATGGATGGCATTAGAGCAGATTATGCTAAGTGAAGCTAGCCAATCCCTAAAAAACAAATGCCAAATGTCTTCTTTGATATAAGGAGCGTAACTAAGAACAGAGTACGGACGAAGAGCATGAGAAGAAGATTAACATTAAACTGGGATGAGAGGTGGGAGGGAAAGGGAGAGAGAAGGGAAATTGAATGGAAATGGAAGGAGACCCTCAGGGTTATACAAAATTTCATACAAGAGGAAGTGAGGGGAAAGGGGAAATAATACAAGGGGGAGAAATGAATGACAGTAGAGGGGGTAGAGAGAGAAGAGGGGAGGGTAGGGGAGGGGGGATAGTAGAGGATAGGAAAGGCAGCAGAATACAACAGACACTAGTATGGCAATATGTAAATCAATGGATGTGTAACTGATATGATTCTGCAATTTGTATACGGGGTAAAAATGGGAGTTCATAACCCACTTGAATCAAAGTGTGAAATATGATATATCAAGAACTATGTAATGTTTTGAACAACCAACAATAAAAAATTAAAAAAAAAAAGAAATGCATTTTCCTTAAAGTTTTCATATCTGAGGACTTGTTGAAGTCTAACACATCTCACAAAATGAGCACCCTAAGGAAGTATACTCATCAGAAGCTACTACTAAGGAGAGAAATCTGCAAGTAGAGGGAAAGTCCCATAGGATTGAATATATCCCTGTGAGAATATACAAGATATTTTATGAGTTGAAACTAGTCAGAAAAGAATCAGCAGGTCATGAGTCCCAGGCCAGCTCAGTGTGTTTGAGAAACAAATTTAAACAGCACTGGTTTCAGGAGCATGTGTTCCAAGCAATCATGAAGTCTCGATGTGGGCCTATGTTTGTTTCCAAACTCTATGTTGCTTTCTGTAAATTTTTGATAATATTTTTTACAAGGAAACTTTCATTTTTATTTTAAATCAAGACTCACAAATTATGTAATTTACTTTATGATAGACTCTTTTACTTTATTTAAATAGGAAAGTATTTTTCTAGGAAACACTAAAAACCTCTTGGTTGCAATTAGTAATTACTTAATGAGGTAATGTGAGAACTATAAAAGAAGGAGTGTATAGGAAAAACAGTGTTATTAAATTGTGATTAATTCAGAGAGGAGATAACCAAGGAAGAACAAGAAAAAAGTACAGAAGGAAAAGAAGAAAACATTGAGATAAACAGAGTGTTTGTTGTTATTGTAAAGACAATGCTTAAAGTCTGTAAAAATGATGGGTAAGACTTCCCACGTATTCCCTGTCACTTAGGGTTGGGGACTCTGGTGGAAACCTACGTGAATGCCATCAACAAAGGAACCATTCCTTGCTTGGAGAATGCAGTGACCACTCTGGCCCAGCGTGAGAACTCAGCAGCTGTGCAGAAGGCAGCCAACCACTACAGTGAGCAGATGGCCCAGCGGGTGCAGTTCCCCACAGACACACTCCAGGAGCTGCTGGAGGTGCACACAGCCTGTGAGAAGGAAGCCATCGAAGTCTTCATGGAGCACTCCTTCAAGGACGACAATCATGAGTTCCAGAAGAAGCTTATTGTAATTGAATTTTTATTCATCCTTCCTTATTCCTCTCCTTCTGGAATGAGACTTGACTCCATATTTTTGATTCCAGAGTTTGCATCATTCTCATCATTGAAAGAACCTATTTTACTTATTTGTATTTATTTATTTAATTATTTTTGTGGGCAACAGGGCTCTTCAGGATACTGTTCACCCTTAATTTAGTATTGCTGCAAGACAAATTATCCAGTGATTAGCAGCTTAACACAATAAGAATGTCTTAGCTCATAGTCAGATCTTTGCACAGACTGCTCTGCTCAGTGCACCATCCATGGAAAACAAGGAGTGACTTGACCTTAGTTCTCATGTTGGTGCTCTGGGGAAGCCTTCTCCACTTTCAAGCAATGAAATGCTTCTGTAGTCTCTCTGATTTCCTCTATGCCACAGTCAGAGAAAATTGCTTTTAAAAGCTTATATGATTAGGTGATGCCCAATGGAGTACTCTCAATTTTTTAAAGTTAACCTGTGCTATGTAACATGATCATAGGATTAATATTCATCACATTCACAGTCCCAGGGACAAGGCAGGGTGTGGACACCAAGGGAGAAAACTGTCAGGGACTGCCTAATTCTGCACCTTCACTGGAAGTTTGTCCTTCAGTCGATCTGGAACTGACACAACAGTATAAAAAATCTTAGAGAAAATCCACTGGATTTTACTTTACAAGAACCAGCAAACAGTCAATAAATCAATAAATCTATCCCTGTATCCTCCCACATTCAAACCCTCACTGAAAGAATTTATGAAGGTTTCAAAATTCTGTTCAGAATACACTCAATTCATTCCTTCAGAATTGTTTGCCATGGATATAATTTCAACCACAGAAATCCACATTCCCTCACAAATTTACTTTTTATTAGTGACTATCCTCATCATCCTCTTCCTTCCCCTCCTTCTAAAAATTTACTTGTTATTAGTGACTATTAGGGTTTGTGCTCACTGTTAATATCGTAGCTAAATAAACCACCAACATCATGTCTTCCATCTCCATTGTTTTACAGAGATAGAACTTAACCACAGGGGCATTAAAGCAATTTTCAGTCGCACAGAGAATTGATCAAACCTGCAATCAATGGAAGCATATCTCCCAACCCGTTTCCATGTCTTAGACCACTCTGAGGCTGTCAGAAGGCTTCTTCTGAGTATCCCCACTAGACCTTCCTTCTAACAACTTCTTATTATTTTACTTCCCTACATTTTCCTTCCAGGAAACCACAGAGAGAAAGAAGGAAGCTCTCTTGCTGCGGAATGAAGAGGCATCTGTCAAATACTGCCAGGCTCAGCTGGAGCAGCTTTCAGAGGCCCTGATGCAAAGCATCTCAAGAGGAGCATTCTCTGTTCCTGGAGGCCACAGGCTCTACTTAGAAGCAAAGAAGAAGGTGGAATTTGACTACAAGCTAGTGCCCAGGAAAGGAGTGAAGGTGAGGAATAAGGAGATAGGGGTGGCCAACAGAGTGTGGTCACAGGGTTGGTGTTGCTACGTCTCAAACTCTATGCTCACAGCACTATTTGTGAAACAAAGACAGAGAATGGCAATATAATGACATTTATAACATTTTATATGCACTATTCATTAGACACTCTTAAATAAACTGAAAATAGTTCTTCTGAAAGAGAATTTGCAACTAGGAATTCAGGTAAAACTAACCATTTCTTTTATTTTTCAAAAAGTATATATATATGTATATATTTGTTTGTGCCAAGTAAGTAGGTATAATATAAAAGGAAATAACCTTGTTTTTATGAAGTGTATCATACCTCAAATGGGTAAGATAATATTCAATTGGATATGGTGGATTAATACTATATGTTGATGGTAACTGGTATGTGCCGATAGTAACATTGTGGATGATGAGGAGCAGTTGTTAACAGACATTGAACATTCACGTCCTACACCAGGTACAGTTCCAGATTATTTTCTTGCATTACCAATTTAATTCTGAGACTCATGGAAACTAGGTACTACTTTCTTCTATATTTATGCAGTAAAGAATTGTAATGCATGAGGATCTAATAAGTGGCTGAAGATCATACAGCCAGTCAGTGACAGAGCTGATAGGGCAGCCTTTAGAAGCTCAGGATTCTTTTCTTCTTTTGAAAATCCTCCTGCTGTTTTCCATGATGGCTGCAGCACTTCACATCCCCCCAGCTGTTCTACAAGGCTCCCTTTTCTCCACATCCTCAGCAACTTCTGTTCTCCTTTGTCTTATTGATAATAGCCATCCTCACAGATGGGCTGGGATCTCATTGTGGTTTTCATTTGTGTTTTACTGGTATTAATGATGTTGAGCAGTTTTACAATCATCTATTTGATGTTTTAATTTCTTCTTTTGAAAAACATCCATTCAGATCCTTTCCCCATTTTTTAATCAGGCTATGTATTTTTTAATTTTATTTTTTATTTTAATTTGTTGTATATAACTGCAGAATGCATTACAGTTCATATTACACATATAGAGCACAATTTTTCGTATCTCTAGTTGTATACAAAGTACATTCACACCATTCGTGTTTTCATACATGAATTTAGGGTAATGATATCCATCTCATTCCACCATATTTCCTACCCCCATGTGCCCTCCTTTCCCCTCCCACCCCTTTACCCTATCTAGAGTTCATCTAATCCTCCCTTGCTCCCACTCCCAATGCCACTATGAATCAACTTCCTTATGTCAGAGAGAACATTTGGCATTTGTTTTTTTGGGTTTGGCTAACTTCACTTAGCATTATATTCTTCAACATCATCCATTTGCATACAAATGTCATGATTTTATTCTCTTTTATTGCTGAGTAATATTCCATTTGTATATATACCACGTTTTCTTTATCCATTTATCTACTGAAAGGCATCTAGATTGGTTCCACAGGTTAGTTATTGTGAATTGTGCTGCTATAAACATTGATGTGGCTATGTCCCTGTAGTATGCTGTTTTTAAGTCCTTTGGATATAGACTGAGGAGTGGGATAGCTGGGTCCATTGGTGGTTCCATTCCAAGTTTTCCAAGGAATCTCCATACTGCTTTCCATATTGGCTGCACCATTTTTCAGTCCCACCGGCAGTGTATGAGTGTGCCTTTCCCCCGACATCCTCGCCAACACTTACTGTTGTTTGTATTCTTGATAGCTGCCATTCTGACTGGAGTGAGATGAAATCTTAAGTAGCTTTGATTTGCATTTCTCTAATTGCTAGAGAGTTGAACATTTTTTCACATATTTGTTAATTGATTGTATATCATCTTCTGAGAAGTGTCTGTTCAGTTCCTTTGCCCCTTTATTGACTGGGTTATTTGTTTTTTTGTGTGTGTTTAGCTTTTTGAGTTCTTTATATACCCTAGAGTTTAGTGCTCTATCTGAATTGTAAGCGGTAAAAATTTACTCCCAAGCTTAGGCTCTGTATTCACCTCACTGATTGTTTCTTTTGCTGAAAAGAAGCTTTTTTCTGTTTGAATCCATCCCATTATTAATTCTTGATTTTAATTTTTCTGTAATAGGACTCTTATTAAGGAGTAGGGGCCTAATTCAATATGATGGAGGTGTGGGTGTACTTTTTTTTCTATTAGATGCAGGGTCTCTGGTTTAATTTCTAGGTACTTGATCCACTTTGAGTTGAGTTGTGTGCATGGTGAGAGATAGGGGTTTAATTTCATTTTGTTACATATGGATTTCCAGTTTTCCCAGCACCAGTTGTTGAAGAGGCTATCTTTTCTCCAATGTATGTTTTTGGCACCTTTGTCTAATATAAGATAATTGTAATTATGTGAGTTAGTCTCTGTGTCCTCTATTCTGTACCATTGGTCTACAAGTCTATTTTGGTGCCAATACCATACTGTTTTTGTTAGTCTTGCTCTGTAGTATAGTTTAAGGTCTGGTATAGTGATGTCACCTGCTTCACTCTTCTTACAAAGGATTGCTTTAGCTATTCTGGGTCTCTTATTTTTCCAGATGAATTTCATGATGGCTTTTTCTATTTCTATGAGGAATGTCATTGGGATTTTGATTGGAATTGCACTAAATCTGTATGATGCTTTTGGTAGTATGGTCATTTCGACAATACTAATTCTACCTATCCAAGAACAAGGACGATCTTTCTATCTTCTAAGATCTTCTTTAATTTTTTTCTTTAATGTTCTGTAATTTTGGTTGTAAAGGTCTTTCACCTCTTTTGTGAGGCTGATTCCCAAGTATTTTTTTTGGAGGCTATTGTAAATGGGGTACTTTTCCCTCTTTCTGTTTCAGAGGCTTTATCACTGATGTACAGAAATGCCTTTGATTTATGGGTGTTGAGTTTTTATCCTGCTACTTTGCTGAATTCATTTACTAGTTTTAGAAGTTTTCTGATAGAATTTTTGAATCTTCTAGGTATAGAATTATATCATTGGCAAATAGTGCTAATTTGAGTTCTTCTTTTCCTATATGTATCCCTTTAATTTCTTTAGTCTGTCTAATTGCTTTGGTCAGTTTTTTAAGAACTCTGTTAAATATAAGACAGCATCCCTGTCTTTTTCCTGTTTTTAGAGGGAATGTTTTCAATTTTTCTCCATTTAGAATGATATTTGCTTGGGGCTTAGCATAGATAGCTTTTACAATGTTGAGATATTTCCTGTTATCCCTAGTTTTTCTAGTGTTTTGAACATGAATGGGTGCTGTATTTTGTTGGATGCTTTTTCTTTATCTGTTGAGATGATCATATGGTTCTTATCTTTAAGTCTATTGATGTGATGGATTACATTTATTGATTTCCTTATGTTGAACCAACCTTGCATCCCTGGGATAAATCCCACTTGATTATGGTGCACTAACTTTTTAATATGTTTTTTATTTGATTTGTCAGAATTTTATTGAGAAATTTTGCATCTATTTTCATTAGAAATATTGATCTGAAGTTTTCCTTCTTTGATGTGTCTTTGCCTATTTTGGAATCAGGGTGATATTGGCCTCATAGAATGAGTTTGGAGGTATTCCCTCTTTCTATTTCCTGAAATAAACTGAAGAGTATTGGTATTAGTTTTTCTTTAAAGGTCTTGAAGAACTCGGCTATGTATCCATCTGGTCCTGGACTTTTCTTGGTTGGTAGGCTTCTGATGGTATCTTCTATTTCATCAAACTTGAAATAGATCTATTTATATTGTGTATATCATCTTGATCCAATTTAGGCAAATCATGTGACTCTAGAAATTTCTCAATGCCTTTGATATTTTCTATTTTACCGGAGTACAAATTTTCATAATAATTTCTAATTATCTTCTTATTTCTGTAGTGTCTGTGTGATATTTCCTTTTTCATCACATATATTAGTAATTACATTGAGTTTTCTCTTTCCTTTGTTAGCATGGCTAAGTGTTTGTCAACTTTATTTTTTCAGAGAACCAACTTTTTGTTTTGTCAATTTTTAAAATTGTTTCTATTGTTTCAATTTCATTGAATTGAGCTCTGATTTTAATTATTTCCTGTCTTCTACTGCTTTGGGTTTTGATTTGTTCTTCTTTTTTAGGGCTTTGAAATGTAATGTTAAGTCATTTATTTGTTGAATTTTTCTTCCTTTATGGAATGAACTCCATGCAATGGACTTTTCTTTTAGTATGGCCTTCATATTGTCCCAGAGATTTTGATATGTTGTATCTATGTTTTCATTCATCTCTAAGAATTTTTTAGTCTTCTCCTGGATATCTATTACAAACCATTGTTCATTCAGAAGCATATTATTTAGTCTCTAGGGTTGGAGCAGCTTTTATTTCTTATTTTATCATTGATTTCTAATTTCATTCCATTGTGATCTGATAGAATGCATGGTAGTATCTCCTTTTTTATATTTGCTAAGAGTTTATTTGTGGCATAATATATGGTCTATTTTAGAGAAGTATCATGTGCTGCTGAGAAGAAAGTGTATTCGCTCATTGAAGGATGAAATTTTCTATATACATCAGTTAAGTCTAAGTTATTGATTGTGTTATTGAGTTCTATAGTTTTTTTGTTCAGCTTTTGTTTGGATAATCTATCCAGTGGTAAAAGAGGTGTGTTAAAGTCACTCAGAATTATTGTGTTGTGGTCTATTTGACTCTTGAACTTGAGAAGACTTTGTATGATGAATGTAGATGCTCCATTTTTGGGGGGCATATAAATTTATTATTGTTATGTCTTATTGATGAATGGATCCCTTAAGCAGTATTAAATATCTTCCTTTATACTTTTTGATTAACTTTGGCTTGGAGTTTTCTTTATTTGATATAAAGTTGAAAACTGCTGCTTGCTTCTGCAGACCACGTGAGTGGTAAAATTTTTCCCAACCTCTCACCTTCAGTCTGTTGATGTCTTTTTTTTTATGAGATGAGTCTCTTGGAGGCAGCATATTGTTGGGTCTACTTTTTTTAATCCAATCTGCCAGTCTATGTCTTTTGATTGATGTGTTTAGGCCATTAACATTCAGAGTTAATACTGAGACATGATTTGTATTCCCAGCCATTTTTGTTTATTTTTGGTATTTAACTTGACTTGGTTTCTCCTTTGATTAGTATTTCCTTTAGTGTAATACCTCTCTTTGCTAATTTTCATTATTGTTTTTTTTTTCCTCTTGATGGAAGATTTTGCTGAAGATGTTCTGTAGTGTAGGCTTTCTAGTTGTAAATTCTTTTAACTTTTGCTTATCATGGAAAGATTTTATTTCATCATCAAATCTAAAGCTTAATTTTGGTCAATATAAGATTCTTGGTTGGTGTCCATTTCTTTCAGAGCTTGATATATATTGTTCCAGGATCTTCTAGCTTTCAGGGTCTGAGTTGAAAAATCTGCACATAATCTAATTGGTTTCCTCCTATATGGAATCTGAATCATTTCTCTCATGGCTTTTAATATTGTCTTCTTATTCTGTATGTTAGGCATTTTCATTGTAATGTGCATTGGTGTGGATCTGTTGTGATTTTGTACACTTGGCGTCCTGTAAGCATCCTGAATTTGGTTTTCCAATTCATTCTTCATGTTTGGAAAATTTTCTGATATTATTTTATTAATAGCTTGCTCATTCCTTTGGTTTGGAATTCTATGCCTTCCTCTATCCTGATAATTCTTAAATTTGGTCTTTTTGGTGGGATAAAAGAAACAAATTAAAACAATGAAAAAAATAAAGAATATACAACACAACTATAATATACTCTTCAGATGTTCCAGTCCTCAAAATTCTGATTCATGCAAAGTATTTCATTTCACATATGTTGGGGATGTGAGGGAGAAGAAAGGGAGAGGGAAAAAAAAACTTGAAGGAAGAAATAGGTATTTTTTTTTTTTGGTTGGAGATCAGTATCTTTCCTGCTTCCCTTCTCATCCAATAGGTGGGGTCATCTGTTGTTAGCTGGTATCCCTACCCTCAGGATGGTGAAGGTAACCAGGGTGTCACTGTGCTGGGTTAGCGGTTGCTGGGGAGAGGGGGAATTAGAAACTGGGTACCTGGCCAGCCGGAATTCCAACCTGGGAGTTGCTCCCACTGAAGATGGTGATGAAGGTGGCCCAAGATGAAGGTGCCTGCTTTCAGTGATTTGGTGTCAGATCAGGTGAGGGGAACCGGATGATGGCACTGGATGATGAGTTCAGAGAAGAGCTCTGTGGCATGCAGTATGGCTGACTTCAGAGCCTGTGTGAAGTTCTTGGGTGCAGGCAGGATACTACGTGTAGGGGACTATCTCTGTGGTAGAAGAGTTCCAAGATGGTGGCGGGGGAGCCCCATGCTGGTAGATGGGATGGGAAGTTGCCAGGTGTCCTTCATGGGAACAGCATTCGTGATTTCTTCTTGGGTCAGTTCTTCTCAGGTGCTGCTGCTGCCAATGGTCTCCCTTGGATACTGGGTGAGGGAAATCTTGCATGGGCGAGTAGTTGGGAGACTTTGATGCTGAGGCCTGGAGCCCTGTATAGGCATGGTGCTTCTTGTGCAGGGGCAGGAATATTGCTTGCAAAGAAGCAGTATTCTCACTACTTGAGTCCCATGTCATGGATTGACATAGAATACTGCCTCTCTCTGGCCCGCCATCTTGGATCCCTGCTACATATATTTTTTTAAACTGTTGAGTCATAGAAGTTTTAATATACTTTGAAATTGACTCCTTATTAGATATATGGTTTGCAAATATTTTCTCTCATTCTATACATTGTACTTTTCATTTTGTTGATCGTTTCTGGGCAGTGAAGAAACTTTAGTTTGATATTTCCTACTTATTTATTTTTGGTTTTGTTGCCTATGTCTTTTAATTTTAAATCCAAGAAATCACTGAGATGGCAAGTGTCAAAGGTTCCCCCCACCAGGTTTTCTTCTAGGAGTTTTACAGTTTTAGGTCTTATGTTTAAAACTTTAATGCATTTTAGTTCATTTTCATACAAGGAGTAAGACAATGGTCCAATTTCTTTCTTTCCTGGCTCTCTATTCTGTTCCACTGGTCTTTGTGTCTGTGTTTATGCCAGTAGCATGCAGTTGTGATTACTAAGTAATACAATTATATATATCATATATGTGACAAAATATTATTCAGTCTTAAAAAAAAAAGCTCTACCAATGACAACATGGATTACCCTAAGAATATTGCCCTAAAGGAAATGAGCCAGACATAGAAAGACAAATGCTGTGTGGTTAAAGGTCATTGGCACCATAAAAACCAACCACCAAAATAAGGGCAAAACACCGTTCAGCTCATATTAACATAGAGTAGAGTTAAAGTAGAATGCTGATTAGCCAGACCTGAGAGTAGAGGGAGGGGAGATACTGGTCAATATATAAACATGCAGCTACAGATGAGTAAGTGCTGCACACCTGATGGACCACTATTACTGAAGTTAAACTAATCTCTTGTGTACCTGAATGTTACTAAGAGAATAGATGTCATCATTCTCATGACAGTGGAAAATGTAATTATGTGATGTAGGAAACATTTAATAATGCAGACATATATCAAAACATCATATTATACACTTTCAATGTACACCATTTTGTTAATCTCAACAAAGCTGAAAAAAAACTCAGAAGCAGTCTAGGAAAGCTTTGTGGTACAGGAGGGGGGAGATACAAGTCAAGGAAACTGTAGACATGACTCTAGTTAAGAAAGGCTAGAACAGATGCAGAAAAAGGATGTGCACACACTGCAAAAATGGAGGAGGTATGTGTTTGTAGAACTGCTGCTACATCTGACTGGGTCTAAAACCTGGGGTGGCTGCTGGGTAGCATTCATGTGAGAGAAGGTTGATACAGGGTTTTCGTGTCTCACCAAAGAGCATGGACTTCTGTTGTATCCACAGAAGGAAAGCAATCACAACAGGATCTTACTACAAAGGATGCAAAATTCAAAGTCAGTTTTGTGATCTATTGAATCATACCTCCCTCATCTGAAGACAGATCTTTGATCCCTAACATGTTTTGGTTTCTTCTTGGTTCCTCAGGCAATGGAGGTCCTCCAGAGCTTCCTACAGTCACAGTCTGTTATAGAAAAATCCATCCTGCAGTCAGACAAAGCCCTCACTAAGGGAGAGAAGGCCATAGCAGGTACAGGGGAGGTCATAGCTCTCAGAGGGTGGGGAGGTTACTGCATAGACCTTGACTGACTGGGCAAGAAAACCTTCCTGAAACCAGAAGCTTCCTCCTGCTAAATCTGAAAGCAAGAGGAGAGTCCAGAAAATGAGTTTCCATCAAATTTGCAAATATATACTCTTGCGTCATGGCTATTGGGCAAATTGAGAGATTTCCCTCTTGCCTTTTCTGAAATCACCTTGGTGTGCTAACCTAGAAGGCTAGAATGCAAACCTGTTGTTTCTTCTCTCTTCTAAAATCTTTGTGGAGCAGCTGAGCGGGCCAAGAAGGAGGCAGCCGAGAAGGAACAGGAGCTGCTAAAACAGCAGCAGAAGGAGCAGCAGGAAAAGATAGAGGCCCAAGAGAGAAGCTTCCGGGAAAATGTGGAACAGCTTAAGGAGAAGATGGAGAGAGAAAAGGAGAACATTCTGAGAGAGCAGGAAAAGATGCTGGAGCACAAGCTGAAGGTGAGTCTCTACAGGGCCTGGCAGGACCTGACAGACAGTGCCTGTTTCCTCAGGATGGGATGGGACAAAATATTAGATACAGACAGCATTCCAAAGGGACACTAAAAGGCAAATGTTTCATTGACATGGACACCTCAAGTGCACCTGGATCCTAATGAAGCCTATAAATCTATGAGACTTCAGCACTTTTTTTATTGATAGACTTTGGAGGGTACAGATAATAACCCCCAGGATGGTGGATTACTCTTTGTTGAGATTATGTGCCCCAATTGAGTAGGATTCTGGCACAACCATCCAAGAGACCTGAAACAGATCCTTATGGTCTGCATGCATCAGATTTGCCTGATATAAAATTAGGACAGTGAAAGATCAGAAATTGCTCCTCTTGCTTTTGTGTCTTCCTGATTCTTCTATACAAGTAGAGTACAACAAACCTGTGTCACAACCAGGAGCTTGATGACCAGTGTTCTGTACAAGGGCAGCATTTCCCATGACCTGTTAGAGGATCACAGCCATGCCACCTTGGTGGATCTGAGAATCAATCAGAATTCAACCTCATTCTCCCCGACACAGCATCCTTTGTGCTGGAATAAAATCCCTCTCCACCTCCAGTGAGTGTGAGGAAATCTCACAAGTGTGTAAGCCCTTGGTACTCCCCCTTTTCAGGTCAAAGGTCTGGAAATATCAAAGAATATTGTAAGGTGGTAGAGAAATAGACACACGTGCTTAACTGCTGAATTTGTTAAATACAGAACTCTTGGCGGTTTATAATCAGGGATTCTCAAAAGTGGACTCTTCCTCTCTTATAGGTCCAAGAAGAATTTCTTACTGAAGGATTTAAAGAAAAATCTGAGGCATTAAGTAAAGAGATAAATCGACTAAATGAAGAGATTGAAGCATCTAAAAAAAACAGTCGCTCGATATTTTCACAGATCCTTACTGGAGTTGGCAGTGTTTTCCTTGCAGTACTCCCTGGGGCTGGTAAAATAGTTGGTGCAGTGTTGACTCTCATAGGCAGTCTTTTTGAATAACCTGAGGATTCCTGATAGGAAATTATAAAAAGAGGCATCTTTTATTTGAATAGCTACTTTTAAGGTACCTGTGTCATATCAGTTTCATTCAAGAGATGTTCGAGAATAAAAAGCAATTATCAAAGATTATCAGAGTATATTCTGAGAAACAATATTTATTGAAGAAATCATAAATGACTAAGACAATATGAGATGATTTCTAGAGAAGATTTTAAGTAAAACAAAAATTTAAATAGCAATAATGAAGAAAATATTTGAAATTCATATATGAGGAGCTCTGTGGGAAGTGACTAACAACTGCATTAAGTAGAAAGAAACATAAGAAAAAATTTAAATTTACTAATAAAAAGTGTGCACAATAAAACTGTGAAGCACATAGTTTTGCCTTCTTTGTGGGTAGTGAAGGACAGGTTTAATAATATACATAAAAATTTAAAATGCACATACCTCTGATCTAGCAATTCCACATATAGGACATTCTCTTATGTATCTCTTCACTCAAATGAAAATGATATTTGTAGTGGTTTACTTATTTCAGGATCATGATGATTACAAAAGACTGGAAGCAACTGAAAGTTCCTCTGTCAGGTACTGATATGGGAAATCTTAAGACATGCTTTCAGAAAAATACCCTATAATGATTGTTAAAAAGGATGGGGGGAGTTGTATGTGTCGGGAAACATCTCCAAGAGGCATCTTAAGTGAAAAAATATAGAAAGTGTGAATAATTTATAAAATAATGAGTATGTACATATGGTATAACCTACATGTGGAAAATACAAAATAAACTAGTATATATGTCACAATAGGAAGGCACCTGTCTAGTTGAGGTGAAAGAAGACAGAACGACTAACTTTATACTATATTTTCTTCCATGCCTTAACACTTCCTATGGATTTGTTATATTCAAACAAATATGAATTCAATTAGCAAAATTAAAAATGAAATAATACATGACTGGGAAAATCCCAGGACAGGAGGAAAGTGTTTAATACTACTAGAAATAGCAAAAGTCAGCTCAACTAGAAAAGTCTGCTCCTGAGAATAAGGAACTAGAGACCACAAGACATCCTGATTTTTTGTTTTTAATTATGACCTTTCAATAAGGCCTTTAACATCTATTCCCCAGTATATGTTCAGATAGAAGTCTCTTGCGATTTTGACTTGAATGGTCTACAAATTCTGCCCCATATTAATAAAGAAGGGAATTTTTTCATTTGAGTTAATTCAACATTTATAGAATAATAATAATAATAATTTTTATTATTTTGTGGTGCTGTGGATTGAAGCCATGGCCTTGTGTATGCCAGGCAAGTACTGTATCAACTGAGCTAAATCCCCAGCCCAACATTTTAGTAATTCTTTCCAGGTGTCTAGTGCTTCAGATTTACAGCCAGAATGAACTCCTAGTAATTCTACAAGCTGGGCATGCTCTCTTGACTCTGGACCTTTACAGATACACAGAGGCTTCCTCATCAGCCCAGCTTCCTCACCTCTTATCTTTATTTGTCAAACTATGATATTCCATGAAGTCTCCTGTCTAACTTCCTGAGATAGGATGGAGCGTCCCTCCCCTCTGCTTTCATTGTGCCATATTGTCACTCTACCATAGAGCTTTTTAAAAATATATATAATTGTGAAATTGAAAAGTGCTTCTGTCTATCACCTCTTGATCTGAGGTACATGGTCTTCTTCACCACCCGATCTTTAGTTCCAAGTAGAAAGCCCATAAATACCAGGTATGAACTGTTTAAATACATGAGATGCCCTTCAGGAGGGCCCCAGTTGACCATGTCCTCACCACATTTCTCAATTTCTAAGGCTCTCCAAATAAAGGATAATATTTGAGGAACTAGTGTAGAAGGGACTCACTGAAACTGAGAGGACTTGTCCACTGGTGTGAAACTGCTGCCTATTATCTCTGTAGGACTGGACACCCCATGTCCCTAAGATCCTCAAGCTTCTTACTCATAGTAACTACCCAGGAATGAAATCACTACTTTATTTCCTAGCAAAATATGATTTTAATATAATAAACAAAGTGCCATAATCATGCAAACCTCACTTCTGCCATAGTCTTTCTATCAGTCTAGGCTGGTTCTGCTGAAATAAAACTAGGCATTTTATATAAAGATTAAAAAATCTCACTGAAAATAATACCCACAGGCTGTCAGAGGAATCTGCATATTGTCCACAGAGCCAGGAGACAGCAGCATTACAAATACTTCCTTGTTTCCTCCTTCTTACTAAGGTCCTAGGAGCACACCTGTGCTATCTTGGGTCTTAAAGTAATGGTCAGTCATCTTTTAGTTTCCCCAACCAAAACATATATACAGAGGTTTCTTCCACTGGCAACAGAATTCCTGCTGCTGAGTCAATCCCCAAGGGCTTGCTGGTCTCTCTAAGGAATTTCCTAAACACTGCACATTGGGATGGTCTGGTAAAGGACAATGAGGGGGCAGGCAAAAGCTCTGGTGCCCCATCACATCTCCCCAACACACTTGTCCAGCAATGAAATATGAAACCCTCAAAAAGGAAATGTTGGCATATAATTATAGCTATTTGTACATAAGGAAATGGTCAGAAGTGAGGCAAAAAAATAATAAAAGAAGAGTAAAAAGACTTCCCCATCCACCCAGTTTAAATCTTTGTCATAAGTTGTCATCTGTTGGGTTAATGTTTACAGACACCCAAAAGAAGTTTGTAGGCAGAAGGCCCCTCACATACTTGAAAATAAATAAATACTTGTTGAATTTTTGATGGTATAACAGATCTATTTTTTCAAGCACCTTCTCAACAATTTTGTAGGAAAACAATTGCACACCACTTGTCTACATAGTATTTGGCCATTTTCATAACCTCTTGTGCATTTTACCAGATTGTGTCGACATCCCACCTTGCTAGTACCACCTTCTGACATGTTGGGCTGAATTTGAGCAAATTGCAATAATTTGTAATTTCAAGAATCTTTTCTGTGTTGGAGTTGAAATTAGGTGTGGGAATGTGTTAGAAATAATAATAATAAAAAAAGAACTGAGCAGATCTCTGAATACTAGCAGTGGAAATAACATAAGGAATCAGGGAAGCTGAGACAGTTGCATGGTCTCCTTGTGGCCTCCTCAGTCTCAGATTACATTCTGTCACATAAGCATGTCCTTCAGAGGGAGGAAGTAAGACCATGTGACCAAGCTGCCTGCATCCCCCTGAGGGGCCTCTGTGAAGCAAGGTCTCTTCCAGGGGGAATTTGGAGAGGTTCTGAGGAAGGTTTTCTAGCCTTATAATTAGACCAAAAGCAGCATCCTCTGTGGATTGAGGGGTCCCCTTCAGTCCCTAGAACATGGCACAAGTACAGTGGGCTTCTAGGACTGCTGGGCCTTCTGTCATGTTCATGAAAGGGAACAGGCACCTCCTTACTTCTCTTAAGTAATCACATCCTGAATCCCACACAAGGAAGCCCGCTGACTTCATTATTTCTTTCAATTCTTATGTGACTGAGAGACTCTGAGGATGATGAAGGACAAGCACACAGCATCCAATGGGCTGAGTTGTGAGCAAGGTAGAAGGTTACTACTCACAAAAGTGAGCCATTAACTATCTTCTTGGACAGTTGGGACATATTCAGAGAACTTACTATGTGGTTGTCTCAAAGGCAAAAACAGAGGATGATTAAACTCAGGTCATTGGAGGGAAATCAGTTATGGGGAGACATTTGGAGTTATGTGCAAAACAAAGCTGTCACAATGTGTCATATGACTGCCCAATGCTCTCTGCAATTTCCAGGTGAGCTGATGAACTGGTGAAAATAAGATGGCTGGAGGAAGCCTTAGCAGAAGAAATTGCTTCTTGGCTACACTGTAGATTAAAGCATGCAGGACGAAAGACTGTGAGTGGTTGGGACATGCTGGGGACTGTCCATAAAATGTCTGATGTTGCTGAATACACAGAACCCCCTTACCTGCTCTCATTGCTACTTGCAATGACTAGATGCCTCCAAGGGGCATATCAAACTAAATGATCCTCTGCAATGATGTCAGATGTACTACATGTGTCCTCTCCCATTATCAGAAGGGGACAAATATGCTTTGACCTGTGTGAACACATTACAAGCTTACTTCCAACCTTCCCCAGCAAATATAACCAATGCAAGGGCCATTGTTAAGGAGCTAATCTGACTGTGTGCTGTGAATGGCACACCATAATTAAAGGAGAATGACCCAGTAATCCATTTTGCAAGTCATGACACATAGTACTCTCAAATGAGGACATATTGCGGATTTTCCACCTGAAACATAATCCAACAGGGGCTGGATTAAATGATAGAACCAATGCCCTGCTGAAAAAGTCTTGGAGACTGAAAATACTTCTTATTTTATTGGTTAAGTTGAATTGTCTGCCTGAGGCGCTGAGACATTAGTGCCTGCATGAGTGCCAGGCATGAGCAGTCTGCAAGCAATTCTATGTTAACATGCCCATGGCACTTAAGATTACAGATAAAGGGCACATCCACTGATCATCTTCTCAAACTGGTCAGGGGTACTAAAGTGATAGTAGGAGCAAATGTGACTCCATTTTGTTTTATGACTTCATCCTGTAAAACAACCATGCCAAGTAGAAGAGTCATGACTGGAGCAAGATGTTCTTTTCCTTTTGCTATAGAAACCTTTAAGAACATGGAACTACCTAATGGGGCATTGTTTCTGTAACTAGGGTAACGGGGCTCTGTTTCTGTAACTGGGGTGACTGAGCTAAATGTGATTGGTTAGGCTTCCCTCCGCTTGACTGCACTGTCCCGCTTCTGTAACCTGGCTTGCTTGCATTGGCTAGACCCACCCCCCCAACATCCCTTTTGCGGTTTTCAGGCTTATAAGGAGTGCCCTTGCAATTGTTTGGGGCTGATCAGGGGAAGAGCTTTATGTTCTGGTCAGCTGCCACCGGTGTGCTTCAATAAAGGCTTGATTCGATTATACGTGAGTGGTCTGGAAGTCAGTTTATGAAACCCTGAAACAAAGCTTTAACTGTAACACTAAGAACAATTTTTTGTTGTCGACTCCTTGAGACATCATATTTGTTACCAGAAGCATTAGCTGGCCATGTACTGTACAAATAAGTGCCTGATGGTTCCCTTTGCTAACCCCTTGGAGGAGGGAAAATTTTTAAATTTACAAGGAAAGCTTGTAAACCTGGGAGCCAGACCTGGGCAAGTACAGGTGTTTAAGGAGCACTTTGTATCAGTTTATGGCAGTTATGTGCTAAGAGCCATAGCCAAGTAGTAATGATGCATGGCATTTTTGGTTGAAAGGTGACACCAGCAAGCCATTGAGATGATATGATTATGTTAAGATCTGCATTCAAATGGATATTAGCCCCCTGCTGTCCACCTCGGCCTGCTACGGGACTCCTGGAGAGTTCCCATTGGTTGGGGAAGTGCGGTAGGAGGGAATTCCGGAGGAGGGATTTCCTGTTGGTGTGTGTGTGTGGGAGAACGCCCGCGTGTGTGGGTCGGCATATTTCCCGGGAGCATACAGGGCATTGGCGGGAGTTTCAAAAATAAAATTTGTTCCTGTTTGAGTGGCTCGTGATTTTTGTGCCCAGCCAGACTACCACAGTTATGTATTCTAAATGTGTCTTATTCTTTCTATACCCTCAAAGTACAAACATATAGACCTGGTCTGGTACACTTGCCCAGGGAACACTATTGCAGACTATTAACACAGGATCTTATGGTAGTCTGTATTCTGCCTTATAGAGCTGATTTGCCATTATTGGTGCCTAATAAACATTTGTCATCTTTTTGTTGGGTTAGCAATGAGTAACCTATTCCTGGATTGGGCAATGGAGGTGCAGGAATTGTTCCAACTAACTGGTTGCTGGATCTTCTCAGCAGGACATTGCACACTGGGTAGCTCAACCTGCAAATGAGACAGAATGGACTTGACTGAAATGCAACTGTTTTGAAACTTCTCAAACACTGAAATGGCCATCAAATAATAAGTCTAAACAAAAGATTTTTGCTTTGATTAGAAGGACACCATTTCTTGAGCTCCTGGGTATACTTATATGGAGCAGGCCTTGATGTGAGGTAGCAAGGATATAAACTTGTGTAAATCCACATAATGGAGCAGATACCTGTCAAAAATATTGAGGAAGTTTTCAATGAACTGATATGGAGTGATTTTCATGTATCTATACACCATTTGATCTTACTGTTAGAAAATGTAAATAAGAAAATATACTTGTATATGCACATTTTTTATGAAGGAAATTCAAGGATAAACCAGCAACAAAAAGATTGTATTGACAGGATGGGCAGGAATGTGGTGGAAAGAAGAGAAAGACATCTGGAATTGGAATGGACTATAAGATGAAGTGACATTTTTCTAACTACCTCTTTTATTGATTCTATTTTTTAAAAATACATGACAGCAGTGGAATGCTCTGACTTTTAGAATCATGGTGTTTAACATAAGCAAAAATTAAACACATACTTAAAATCAACCAAAATATCAAGATACAAATAAGGTCCAAATTGAACAAAAACAGTGATAATGACTCTAACGATACTACAAATTAATAAATTTGTGGTAAAGCAAAATGGGAATGTTAGCAGTTTAAGAGCTGACAGGCTGTGGATTTACACATTGACATACAACAGCTCTGCTTACTGCCATTTAAGTATAGAGGCTTACAGTAGCTAATTGGTACCTAATAGATAATCACAGTAGAAGAGATGGGAAAAGAAACAATAGGGAACAAAACAGTCTCCCTTTAGGCTTAGGGAAGTACAAGTCCCTAAGCTGTATGAGCTAAGAGTTCCTAGGTGGTTGACAAGCTTGTACTCATATAAGAAATGTAGAATGCACCTTCCAGTATTATTGCACCAACTCCCTTGCCTTAATGTATCCAAAACTTGCTTATGTATAAAAGTATGAGCCCTACTGTGCTCAGGGCTCAGACTTTGTAAATTATCCCTCATGGTGCCACTAATAAAGTGTTGCTTCCTGATCTAAGTGTCTTGAACCTCATTTCTCTCTACAATTTAACCACACCATGAAAGGGCGAAGAATGAAAGAACTATGCAACATTGGAATACATAGTCCACTAATAATGTACTGTCATTAGCAAATTCATTTTTCACAGAGCTTTGGATCAGAAACTTTAAAAATATGCTATATTTCAGATGGAAAATCCTAGAATTAATGCAAATAGATAAATCTATTATGTATGTTGGCAACCAGTCCTCTCTTAGTAAAAGGAAAGAAAATGAAGAATGTCAGAAGTTTGAATGAATTCAGTTGTGTTAGACTAAATTGGAAATACTATCAGGAACTCAAATTATATATAGAAATCGGTAGGCAAAATTCTGGTGTAGAATATACATACATTGCTATCATACCTACCTGTATTTCAACTTTCCCCTTGATATGGACTAAAAACAACAAACATGTCTAGTGTGATATGTCAGTGTCTTAAATTCCTTTATCAAATTAAAGGAAACACAGCATTTGGGAATAAGAGTAAATTCTGGGACTGAAGCAGGAAATACATGATATGGTCCTGAAATATCTTGTAGTACCATAAAGTAAAGAAAGAGTAAAAATATAATAGAAGCATGTCAAGAGAATATAGAATGTAGGAGCTCTTAATGAAGAAATCTGGGACTAGTTGAACAACAAAATAAATACTAATCATAAATTCCTAAAACCCACAGAGTAAACATTGTTAAGTCTTTGTTGATACAACTAAATAAATGTATGAGTAAACAAATAAATGGAAGAGAATATACAAATTCTTATAGTAGCATTCTAATTAATAAATGTATGGGATGATGAGAACAGAAAATCACCTTTAGCTGGGCATTGTAGTGCATGCCTGTAATTCCAGTGACTCGAGAGGCTGAGGCAGGAGGATTACAAGTTCAAAGCCAGACTCAGCAACTTAGCAAGGTCCTAAGCAACTTCACGAGACCCCATTTCAAAATAAAAAATAAAAAGTGCCAGGTATGTATGTCAGTGGTTAAGTGTCCCAGGATTCTATTCCCAAAGTAAAAAAAAAAAAAAAAAAAAGAAAGAAAAGAAAAGAAAAAGTAAAAGAAAATTACTTTCAGGGAAATCTCATACTAATTAATTTACAAGCAGGACTAATCAATGGATGCTAAAATTAGTGGCCAACAAAGGAGAGCATGAGACTATATTTGCATAATAGTCTAAAAATTATCTCCCCAAAGGGTACTTTTAAATTATAAAATAGTAATAGTACTTCACAGTAGAGGAATTTGGCAGATAGCACCTTAGCCAATTAATCAAAGTTAAGATAATAGCATCAGGATAAATCATGTCAACATCATGAATCTCATTATGTGAACCTCAGAGAAAGGTAGAATGCCAGTCCTGTGATATTCTTACCAAAAGGTATGATTTCAATCTAATATTAAGGAAACATCAGAAATACCCACATTGAAAACAGCCTACAAAATGACAGGCTTGTAATCTTCTGAAATGTCAAAGTCATGAAAGATGAAGAATTAGGAGCTACCAAGATGAGTGGAGACTAATGACTTGCAGTGAGGAGTCCTGAATTGGAATATGGAGCAGAAAAGAACATTAGAGGAAAACCAGTAAACTGTGAATAAAGTGTGTAGGTGAGTTAATGGTATTGAACTACTGTTGACATCCTGGCTTCAACGATTGTTCTATGGTTATATACCATATTAACAGTAGGGGAAGCTACAGAAATGGTATATGAAAACTCTCTAATAGCATTATGTAACTTTTTTGGAAATCTATTTCAAAATAACAACTATTTTAAAAGAGAACCAAGAGACCAGTCTATAGGACAGCCTTAAAGTCTGGCAGATCTTTTAAAAATGTACAGGGAGCAAGACCAAATTTGAGTCCATACTGTTAAGTTCAGCTCAGCTTACTGACTAGAAATTGCTGCCCATCCCACCTCTTCCCTTGCAGACAAAGTAACATCCCAGACATGGCCTCATAGATGGGCATGCCAGGCCCTGTGTGCCTCATTGAGAACCTAGAGGGGCATCTAGTGGTCAAGCAGGAAGCTCTGCAGCTCCTGTCAGCCATCACACAGCCTGTAGTGGTGGTGGCCGTCATGGGCCCCTGCTGCACAGGGAAATCCTACCTGATGAACCAGCTGGCTGGGAAGAAAAAGGGTGGGTGTCACCAGCAAAGCTCTGCTGAGCCCTCTGTCCACTGCACGGTGGGCATCCAGCCTGGGGATGGAGGGGAGACAGAGTCAGGGAGATACAGTGAAAGCTAACTTTCCACCCACCAGTGGGCTCCTTACATTCTGTGTATAGAATTCGAGTTAATCAACTCACTTATCTCACTTTGACATTATTTTCCTATTTAAAAGTATGTATGTATTTATGGGAAAAATAATGTATTAATGAAGAAAATAAGCTTACATCATGATGCATTATGATACATTTAGTAGAATGTTTATGTAGTAACATCAAGCTTCCTTTGAGCTTTAAGGTAAAATGAAGGCTTCCTACTGCATTGGATACTCTAGTTTCCCTATTTCTAGGATTGTAATTAAAATCACTACTTGCAATTTCTTTTATGTCTTTTAACTGTTTATTAACTTTTTCTCAGTCTCTTCGCCTGTCCATCCTTATTCTCCTCTGCAGGTTTCTCTCTGGGCTATACAGTGCAGTGCCACACCAAGGGAATCTAGATTTGGGTGTACCTCTTCCCCAGAAACCAGACCACACAGAGGGACTAGTTCTGCTTGACACTGAGAGACTAAAATATATAGAGAAAGTAAAAAAAAAAAACCAAAAAACTTTCAGATTCTACTCATATCAGACAATACCCTGCCCTGAGTTTGTGACTCCCACTCCTTGACTTATGCTTCTGACTCATCTTATTAAAGTATTATTCTTTGAATTTACTTGGTATATGCATTAAGAGTGGAGACTCACTTCAATTGATTAATTATGGGTCA